TTTCACCAGCTCCTGCTTGCTCCTTTAGTGATGTCATAACTATGGTAATGACATCCTATTTAACATTAGTGCAGAATCTTGTTTCACCACAATTTAGCCAATCATAGAACCATGGATAATTCTATATCATAGAACCATGGAACTAACACTGGCAAATTACAATGTCGTTTTACAATCTTAGAGAAGTCCTTGATAAATCGTCGGTAAAAACTGGCATGTCGAAGGAAACTTCTCATTCCATTTACATTCAAATCTTGGGGTAATTTTTAAATTACCTCAATTTTGGATTTATCCACTTTGATGTTTTTCAAAGAGATTTTATGTCCAAAATGATTCCAGCAGTGACCATAAAATGACATTTTTCCCAATTCAAAACTAGTTTCATTTCAGCGCATCTCTCAAGGACGACATCTTAGTACACAAAGAAACTATCAAAATCATTACCAAAGACTGAAAAATAATCCATGAATACCTTTATTGATGACTCAATCATGTCTGAAAATATGGAAAACATGCACCTTTGGAAGGTGGTGAGGGTGTTGCAAAGGCCAAACGACATTCAGTGATACACAAACACTCCTAACAGGCAAGTAAATGTTATCTTTTCTTGGTCCGCTGGGTCTACAACAATATGATTGTACCCCAAATAACCATCCAAGAAAAAAATAGTAAGCTCTTCTTACTAGCCTGACTAATATATGATCCATGAAGGGTAATGAAAAACGATATTTTTGGTTGCTAGATTCAACCTCCTATAATAAATGCACATCCACCATCCAGTAACAATTTGAGTTGGAATCAAATCTTCTTTTCTTGGGCACAACATGAAAAAAAAAACTCACCCATGTGCTGTTAGAGATATGGTAGATCATTCCGACTTCAAGCAACTTTAAAACCTTTTTCCTTTCCACCTTTTTCATAGTGGGATTTAGTCTCCTTTATGGTTGCACCACATACTTGAACTCTTCTTCGAGCATTATTTTGTGCATGCAATAAGTTGGACTAACACCTTTCAAATCTTTTATGATTCCCCCCAATGTTGTATTGTTCTTCCTCGAAACTCTCAATAACTTTTCTTATTTGAGTTTTGATAAAGAGATATTAATTATGGAAGGTTGTGACAATTTCTAACCTAAAAATACATATTTCAGATGTTTCAGAAACTCTTCCAACTCTAGATCATGTGGTTTTGGAGTTGGGGTTTGTTGTTCAATATTACCCAACTCTTCAATTTTTTTATGGCGCTCTCATCTTGTGTTGCTTGAAGCTGAAGCAAGCATTGTACTATATCTACTTCAGATTCATCTTCAACTTGTTCCACTGAATTCGCAATAACCATATCCATCAGAAGTAGCATTATCTCTATAATGATGATATTATGCACACTTTCTTCCACAACATCAATTTGATAACATTGTGGATTGTCCTTGTGATGCCGCATGGATTCAAAGGCATTAAAGACGACTTTTTATTTATTGGATTGCAATATCAACCCTCCAAGTTCTACATCAATAAGTGTCATACATGTTACTAAAAAAGGCCTCCCCAGAATGAGGGGTGTCTCAACATCTTCCAGCATGTCGAGGATCGACAAATAAATAGTAAATAATAAACTATTCACACTAACTAGCACATCTTCTAACACACCATACAGGTAAGTGATATACCTATCAACAAGTTTCAGATTCATTCTAGTTGTTGTCGGTTCACCACAATTTAACTTTTTCATCATATACAATGACATCAAATTGATGCTAGCTCATAAGTCACATAAGGCTTGACCTATAGTCTGTGGACCGATTGTGCAAGGGATGGTGAACTAACTAGGATCAGTTAATTTTTGGGGTAGCTTCCTTTGTATGATCGAACTGAATTCTTATGCTAAAACAAATTTCTCATTCTCCCTCAATTTTTTTGTTTTCCCGAAAAAGCTCTTTCATTAATTTTGCATAGGCGGGCATTCCTAGAGAGCTTCACTAAATAGATGTTGACTTGTATCTTTCTCAACATTTCTGTGAACTTCTTATACTACCCTATTTCAACCTCTTGTTTTCGTTTCTTCTTTAAAAATGAGTAAGTTGGTTTAATGTAGTCTAGAAGTTTTGGATTGGGATCATTTAGGATTTTCTTTTTACTCCTCCTCCACAACGAGTATTTGTCTATAAACTGATCAAAAGTGTACCCTTTCACCTCCTCTTCTACAGACTCCTCACTTTTTTCTCCCTCATATTTTTCTTCAACTTTTGACTTTTTTTCAACCTCTTTTTCAAATACCACCTCTTTTTTTTCTTTGCAAGAATCTTTTTTCTTTTTAACTAGCTTAGGATTTGCTGGAACAACATGATTTCTCAATTCAAGGTTTTGATAGGTTTCACTCTTTTGGCCACCTACGGTGTATCCACTTTTAACATCATTGAACCCATTATAGATTGCCATTTGTTAAGACAATTTTCACACTTGCATCTCCAAACTCTTGATTGATGTTGTAGTACTTTGGTTTATGGTGATATGGCTCTAGTTCACCTCTCTCTAAGTCTTAATCATTTCATCAAAACTCGATTTAGTGGATTGCATGAAATTTATTAGTGCTTATTCTAGAGGTGATCTTCCTTGACTGCCTTTGGAAGTAGGTTTACTACCCACCTAAAAGCATTGTTGGTATCTCCAACTTAGTATGCAAGGGTTATTTGTCTAAATGTTTACATACTCTACTTCCTCATCATCCATTCTAGGCGCACAACCCCCATTTACATGGACACCTCCACATCAATCACATGGAAAGGTTTGTACCTAGTTAACACTCGCTTGTGCCAGTTGTGTTGCCATCAATTACTTCATTAGCATTTCTATTTGAGCTAGCAGTGCTCTCTGTGAACATTTTTTTTCTTTTATACCTTTCTTGCTAGAACGGTATTCGTTATGGCATGCGTTCTCAATTAGTTTTTTTACCTCATCATCTGTTTTGGTTCTCAACGTACCTCCAACCGAGGCATCAAGAAACATCCACGTTTGAGTTCTCACTTCACTAATGAAGTGTGTCGATTGTTTCATGGAGTTCATGGTATGGTTTAGACACATGCGGTGTAATAGTTTAAATCTTTCCCACGCCTCTGACAGCGACTTGTATTCTTCTTGACTAAAATTCGTGATTGCGGTTCTTCTCTCCACAAACTGCTCATTTTAATAGTATCTCCCCAGGAATCTATCTTTTAACTTCTTCCAAGTTTGAATAATACTACTTGGTTATACATTGCAACCATTCATTTTCCTTGCCAGTCAGAGAGAAACCAAACAACTGTAGTTTCACTTGATAAGCAGTGACCTCATTTAAGTTGCGCATTGAGCATGATCCTTAAAACCTTGTCAAATGGTCCCACAGATCCTTGATAGTCTGTTCATCAAACTATTTGTCTCTTAAACCTGACAATGTCGAGCTTTTTATGTCAAATGTCATTAGGTTCTCTGGTTGGAATCCCTATGATATCTGACTGGTATCGATTCTTTTATAGTAATTCCCTCATGTCTGCTATGGTGGAATCTCCATCTTTTTCTTGCACAAGCAGTTCTCACTGATTTCAAGATCCCACGGGAGAAACATTGAATCCAAACCTCGCACAAACAAAAACAATAATACCTTCGTAGCATTGTACCAACAGAAGAAATAAATATGTAACAATTGAAAATTCAAAACTAAACTACAAACGTAGAATCGTTAACACAAAACAATCAAAATCTAAAATAAATTAACTCGCACATTATGCCTTGTTGAAAATATTAACAATCCCCAACAACGACGCCAAAAACTTGATGACATATTACTAGCAAGTGTACTAGCATTGTAATCAAAGTAATAAAATAAATTTGGCTCCACATAAATTGCGAATTTAAAACAAGTTATGTTGTGCGATATAAATAAAAACAGTAAGTGAGGGTTTTTTCAGGTTGTTTAGTCAAAAATACAAGTTTTAATAAAAATAATGATAAAGGTAATCAGGTCGGTCTTATTATCAAAATCATCTATTTCTACTTATTGGTGAAACGTGTATTAACAGACATGCAATAACTACAAAATAACACGATGAACTAATTTTATCACTACAGAGTCACACGATAAACTAACTGTACCACTACACTCAATCCTTTGATAGACGTCTCACTAGTCTAGGCGTCAATTCCTCAATCTTTCAGGCATATTATCCTATTAGACTAGGCGACCGTTTCCATTAGTCCCTAAGTTACAATTCCTAAATATCTCATCCCTGGTCGATTAGTGAATTCAACAGTTTGGTAAAATGCTAAAAAAAACTATAAATCAATAGAATTAGAAGCTGACATAAGCACATGGTGAGTTATTAAAATAACCTCATAGCATATACCTCACAACACACAAGATATCATAATTAAATACTTCTTCCATCCCAAAATAGAAGGTATAATTACACGAGATAGAAAATTTTAAAAACTTGAAAGTAGAAATAATAAGTATATGAAGGTATGTTAGAAAGAAAAAAAACTATAAATGTTACATAAAAATTATAAAATAACTCATAATTTGAAATAAATTTTTTTTCTTCAAAACGTCTTATAATTATAACCAGCTATATAATAATATAAGCAACTACCACATACATCAAGCAATTTGGGGTTTTAAAACTCAACAAGTACAACACGTTCCATTAATCAAAGTACATAGATGGATGTGCAATGCTGAGGGTGGTTCTAGCAGGTAAACAATCAGACTATAAACATATAGGTAACAATGAAACCAGGTTTATACTTGGTAGTGATGGAACGAATTCATGACAGGATCCTACCAAAAACAATAGAGTGCAAATCCCATGAATGATTTTCAAAATTACAAGCATACATATATAGGTTTTCAATAGCTCTGTCACGTCTAAATCATCAATATATTGACAGTTTTGAGCTGAATAAGATTCCCAGAAATCATCTATAATACTACTGTTTTCTCTAAGTAGAAAGATTACTCCTTGTCATAATCACTTTGTTCTCTTGATTATGTGGACTCCACTTTCAGTTTCCACAATGTCACTCATTTCACCGACATTAAGAGCGAAAGTTGCATCTTCAAATGGCTTCTGCATCTGGCCATGACCAAAGGAACCTGCAGATAAGAGACTAGCCATTTTAGTTCAATTGAAAAACTACGTATGGAGAAAAAAAAAACTCCAAATACTTCACTCTATAAGAACGCAATTATTGAATATATAACCAATACTATGAGATTAGAGGGATGCTAGAAACACGGCTCTACTCAACACACACTCACATTTGATTGAAATTCAAATTAGTCTTATAAGTTTAGTGGGACTTTTCTAAATATCAATCAATAGAAGAGTGTTTATTGAAAAGAGTATGCAAGAGTGTTACATGCATGGTAATGGTAATCCTAAATCATAAGATTGTAACAAAGATCGCAAGATCCCACCATATAAACTAAATTACAGAAATGCCTGGGAAAAATAGACTTAACATAAAATTTTCATAGGTAGGAAATATTTAACTAAAAACATAATTTTGTCATATATAATTTACTCAATCAACAACCAAAAACAGAATTGTCTCAAACACGATCGGATGATCATCTGAAAATAACATCTCAACTAAAACAGTCTAATAAAATATCATTTAACAAGTCAAAAACTAACGGAAAGGCTGCGTTTTATGAGGAAGAAAGAGGCACCGTAGTGTAGTGTGCAGAGGTACTATGGATTGAACGGATAATATGTGGATTAAACGGTTAGAGATGGGAATAATGGAAAGAATTTATCTGAATTTATTGTCTTTTAATTTTATTTTAATTGAGCATTTGAAACTTTAAAACTGTACATTGAAAACTTGAGTGCTCAACTAAAACACAATTAAAAGACAATAAATGCCAAACAGGTCCAAGGAAAATCGGGTCAATATCTGGCAGAACGGGTCAAAAACACATTTATAAGCTACTGATCAAAAGCAGGTTGGAAACAGGTCCCGAGGAATTCACGATCCAGCAATTTTCTTCTACGCATCAACCACGCTTCTATCTTCCATGATCTTGGAAACCTCCAACACGAAAAACAGTTGCAGGCATGCGAAATTGTACGATCTCAGGAGTTATAGCGCAATCCTGACAACCATGGTTACAAGCATTTCACTTGGAAGGGCTATGTAAAAATGAATTTAAGGTACCAAAGATCAACAGTGTGTGAAATTGATTTCATGAAGGCATTGTCATCTTTAAAACCAGATTTCAGTTTCACACAGATTGGAAGATCAGTTGTATATGTATTGATGGGCGCTTGAATTGTAGCTCCTTAATTCACATTCTTACTATATTTTATGTGTTTTACAGCTAGCTAATGCCAACTTCCATTGGACCACAGCAACATCAAGGAGTTCAACAAATATACCATCAGTCCATCAGCAAATCATGTTCAGTCATTACAATTTATATTACTAAACATATATTAGTTACAATTTTCATTTACAATAACATGAAATATGAACTATTTAGCTACCATTGGTAGAAGGGTGGAACACAGGAAGCAGAACACAAGGTTTAGGTGTGCAAAACAATTTTATCATTAGAATACTTAAAAAGTGATGAAAAACTTAAGGGATGCTTCAAAACATTTGGGGGGAAGGCAGAACCCTTGGGCCTAATATCGCTTTTTCCACCTTTACTTCTAAACCAGATCAAATTACTGACGAACTGCTTAAAGTTTTCACATTGACTTCACACTTGATTCAGAACTGAGATCTAATATATATAAGATGATATGTGTTTTGTAAATTAAGTTAGATAAGAAGAAAATTTCTAATATATAAAAGATGATGGCTATGTGAGCTACTTCTGCAATAACAGCAACATAAAGAGTTAAATTCGAAACACTTATAGCTGATAGGATGCACAAGATAAAAAAAAGGTAGCATTACAACGGCAACCAAAGTAAAATCCTTCTATAATAATAATAATCAAGGTTTAAAAAAAAAAGTCCACAAAAACTGTCGCGACAAAGAATAAATTGTGATAATTCAATCAGTGTCACAACATCTGCACAAACCGAAATCGCAAAAGCCTTTACGCAACTGCAACCGTTATTTAAAAACCTTGATCATAATCTTGGACCTATCAAATCCAAACCAATAATTTCTAGTGAATGGGAAGGAGCATCTATAACTGTAATGAACCAGACTCAGTTTTTAATTCTTAATATAAGCAGATGAGAATCGCTCAAAAGACAAACGCGCATATAATTTAGGTAGCCTTTCTAGCAACAGAGGAATCACTTTACAGTTTTATTATTATTATTTTGCTTACAAATCGATCAGTAACACGATTCTCTCAAAATTTCCTTATACTAGGGTTAACATAATTCTACCAAAATCCAGTTCAAGAACGCACTTAAACAGACTAAATTGAAGAACTACACTACAATACATAAATCAAAACAGTAAAAAAAAAAAAAGTAAACTAAAAGTATCATTAAGAAAGCTTGATGAGAACTCACCTAGATCTCCGCCGCGTTTAGCAGAACTGCAATCGGAGTAGCGAGAAGCAACGTCCTCAAAGGTCACCTTACCGGAAACAATGTCCGCTTGCATCGCCTTAAGCTGAGCAACCGCACTGTCTCTGGTGGTGTTTTTGATTACGTAGCCTTCTGGATCTTTCCACGAGGCTTTCCTTCTAGAACCTTCGTATTTGATCAGTATGTGCGAAGCCCTAACCTCAGCACCGCCATGTCTGGACGAAGACATTTTCGCTTCTTTCTTCTTTTGTCGGCTTTCCTCCTCCGCTGCCGAAATCGACGTTTTCTTTCTCTTCCGATCGGAATCTATGTTGGCCGTCACTGGGTAATGAAACTGAGTTAACTCACCAAACTTTTATTTATTTAACTATTTATAGTGAATCTGGATCAAGATTATCGATATTTCTGCATATATCTGGATCGTTCGTTTGAGCTGAATCTTACGGTTCAGGTTGAATCTTTATGTAGTGTGTTAAGATTTTTCACAAATTCATTATGGCGCCTAGTCTTCGATTTATTTGCTGATAAGTTATTTAATGAAGTTGGCTTTTATTTTCTTTTACATGATTGGTTTCAATTAAAGATGTAATTAAATTCAATATTCTAAAAATTGAATACTAATTGACAAAATCTCTCCCTCACGATTCAGCTTCTTTAAACATGTATGAATTTTTATAGAATAAAATGCACAAAAAGTTCTATAAAATAGTGTGTTTTGTTGATTTGAGATTACATCGCAAAATAATGAACTTTTAGCAATAACTTGACATAATAAATTATAAACTAGTTCTAATTTACTACATAAGATTACTTCTTCTCATTTGTTTATGATTAATGTCAATGTTACACTTTCTAATATGAATGATCAACTGAATCGTCGTTTCAATCACTGTGATGTATATTATTTGTAAAATCGACCATGATGGATTTGTTTATTTCACCAACATGCAACTTTAAAACAATGATGATGTGAGTCCTGTGATCTAAATATTTGGACAATATATTTCTAAGGGATTTATTGAGTTAAATGCTACATTGGTCAGATATGCTTGTGTTATATGTTCAAGTTTGATTCGTCTTAGAACATTTACTGAAATCGAAGTGTGCGTTGTAGAATTAAATGATAAAATTAGTTAGTCTCTTCCATGCTTTTGTTTGTGTTTAATTGATTATTTTAATTATTCACAATTATTATTGGTGATATAGGTGCGCAAAACACGATTTAGGTTGGATTGTATGTAACCCCAACCCTTACTAACATTGGATCAAACTAACTCTATAGACCTAAACTTGACCAAAACTCTAGTCAAGTATGATGTGATATGAGTCTAATAAGGATAAGACAATACAGAGACAAGACCGAGTTAGTCTCAAGACTAGTCACTCATACAAAACATGTATTTTTTTTAAAGAATTTATCAACAGTTATTTTAATCATAAGACAAATTAACATAACTTTTGAGATCTACAAATCACATACATCTTACATAGAATTAGTCATTTGATTTTGTGTCTGCTCATTAGATTTATCACAATTAGATTATTGAATCTGAGAGTTTTAAAAACACTTCAAATATTAAAGAAGTTTAAGGGATTGGAAATTGTCATATGTAAAAAAATAGAGTTGAAACAGAGTATCAAGGCCGAAACAACTTTTAAAGTGAAATTACATAGAGGAATGCTTATCCCACCCTATGAGGTGCACGTTACACCTCTAGAAACCCAAAAATGTCCTTATTGGTGTCCGAACATGCATCTTCAGGAACACATAAAATCACACAGGCCCTCATGATTCAGGTATGCATTTCCGTAAATTAAAACCCCCTAAATTCATTTTAAGCTATTGGAAGCGTTTTTATTGAACATAACATGAGATATTTCAGAGATGCATCTCTGGAAAAAAAAATCCTGAATGCTTTATAGGCAGAAACGATGTCCTAACTTTGACATTTTTGAACCTGAGAGGTAACTTGAACCTGTCTTGTTTTCATTGTGTCATTGTCTTTTCCCCTAAGTTTGTCCATGTTTTTTGAAGTTTGGTCAAACCCAACCATGATGAGCTACAAGATATAGTTGGGTCTTGTATACTCCTATTGGTGTTCTACATACTACATATTGAATTTCATTTGATTTAGTGTCTTTTCATTAGATTTTACACGGTTAGATTATCGAATCTGAGAGTTTTAAAAACACTCCAAATTCTAAAATCCGAGAAATATTATGACAAAAAGAACTTCGAAGAAGTTTAAGGGATTGGAAATAGTCATATGTAAAAAAATAGACTAGAAACAGAGCATCAAGGCCGAAACAACTTTTAAAATGAAATTCCATAGAGGAATGCTCATCCCACCCTATGAGGTGCGCTTCACACCTCTGAAAACCCAAAAATGTCCTTATTGGTGTCCAAATATGCATCTTATAACACACCTAAAACCACACAAGCCATTATAATTTAGACCCCCACACCCCCATTTTGCCAAAATATTTCTCGTATTCAGATATGCATCTCCGTAAAAACTCTTGAACTCATTTTAAGCTATTGGAAGTGTTTTTACTCCACATAACATAAAATATTTCAAAGATGCATCTCTGAGAAAACCTTGAATGCTTTATAAGCAGCAACATTGTTCTAACTTTGACATTTATTTAGGTCAACTTACATTTTAGGTCATAGATTAGAAAACACACACATTAATTAATTCAAACATACTACACATACATTAAAAAAAAAGTCATACATTAACTAAAGTAAATTCAAAATGTACCGAACATACATAGCTTGTTTCGAAAATACAAATAATAACATAAACGAACACAAACCACTAGGTATGTCTAACCCCCCCCCCCCCCCCCCGGTTTCTCCTCCGCCTTTACTGCAAGGCATTTCGTGTCTCGATAATAATGCCTTCTATGAGGGTCAACTTGGAACTACCTTCCTAAAAAAGTCATGCCATTATGCCCGGTCTCAACATATCCGCAGTTGTACTCGTGAATCGCCATTAAGTCGATGAAGTATTTATAATAGACCACATTGACGTAGGTTTTACTTTTATCCACAAACATGGATGTGCAAACCAAGAACAAGATGTAATACCTTCATGCACACTATCGATGGTACTCAACATGCATATTATCACCTTTAGCATCCACAAACATCTACAGGTGGTCTTTATAAAGTACTTCCAAGAATTTAAACCTAGCATGAGCATTTCTTGTATCAGCTACCTCATTTGTGACATCAGTTGGGTCTGCTCCCAAATATGTAACCATTTACAGGGACATCCGGATTCTGATTGGCCTCATAGTCTTCAGGGGTTTCATAAGTAAGGGACATGTGGCCTCGTAAAGTAGATGTCTAAGACAGAAGACTTTGGGAACTAAAAGTAGATGGTTGTGAACCTCAACCTTGTGAACCATCAAGTGAGGTAGCATCGACTCGTGGCCCTGACCATGGCCCTCTCACGTCATGAAGACGCGTGTTGGAACACACGACCGAGTCTAATTTTGTCCCAGTTGTTTTTAGCTATTGTACATGTAATAAAATCATAAAATCGCATCAAAGTATAGTTAAACCACATCTGGAGATACATCTCTGAAAGCTAGTTCAAACAAAATTCAGAGATGCATCTTCGGATGAACTAGCAAGTTGCATAAACGAAAGAAAATCCATTAATGGCCTAAACTCCAACCAAATAGGAATGCATGTCTATACCATCTACCTATTTCGAATGTACTAATATCTAGTGCGTCTCAAATGACACGTGTTACTTAAAACATCATTCAAATTTCAAAAAAAAAATGAAATGAGAAACTTACCAAATTAAATTTGCCGGTGGAAAAGCTTGAATGGAGTGAGCGACTTTCCGACAAATGGAGTGAGTGACCTTGAAAATTTTACTTGAATAAACTTGCTCATATAGGGTTTGGAAATGAGTTTACAGCAAGAGACTTTAAATGGCGTTTTAGTGACTTTGTATCAAATGAAGAAGGAAGAGGGTGGAGGTGAAAAAAATACAAGAAAAAGGGGTTTGAATTGGGTTTTTGTATTTAAAAAATTTTGTAACTGAATATATCAAATAGTAAATATAATGATAAAGATAAGAAAACAAGTATTTTTATCTTGGTTCACTATTAACGAAGTTACGTCCAGTCCACCCGCCTGAGTGATTTTGCCTTTTCAATAAGGACTTAATCTAATAATATATTTGATTACAACAAACTCAAAGACACGCAGTATAAGACTTTTTGAGAAATTCTTATTATATCCTAGTCTCTCAAGAAAAACAACTAAAAGAAGAACTGTCAATGACTTCTCAAGAATTTTGATTATACCCTTGTCACTCAAGGAAATTAACCAAAGGTTAAGATTAACAAGGCTTGTGTTATAAGATGCTTCAAAAATAAGATACACAAGTTTAACTCAAACTTTACACTTAACGAAGATATTCAATGAAAATTTTCTATGTTTATGAGTGTGAGAAACACTTTTTTTATTTTTCTCTTTTCACGTATCTTTTTGAGTATATGCCTTTGATAAATAGATTAGTTTATGAATATTTCTTCCATATTCAAGGACATATTTATATAGGAGCAAATAAATCCATTAAAGGGTGAATTTGGAATATCCTCAATGTATTCATTGTATGAAGCTCACTTCATATTGCAACATTAGAGTGTAGCTTACAGCAGAAAGTTAGTGAAAATGATAGGACGTGAGGAGCTTCTTTGGTACAAAGTACATTAATTTACATAGAAAATAGATTTTATTTTGTACTTCTACACATTAATTAGTCGTTGATATTTTGATTTAAATCTTCTAGTCAGAGGCTTCTTATGCAAGTTGATGAAGTTTCAGTAGAGTTATGAGTCTGTCATCAGAACTTAGTGAAACTATCAGAGTCTTAGGAGAACAAGGTTCTGAGACTTTCAGAAGCTGATAGTCATAACCTTTATGAGAGTCTCTCAACATGGTTTCTGAAAAGAAATGTTAACTTAATACTTCAGAGTTGACTTCATGTAAACACGCTTCTAATATATCCTTTGCTTCAAAGTCTGAACATCTTTAGAGTCAGAATCTATTTTTTCTTTTCTGCACACTCAGCAAAGTAGTTATAGTACAAAATTGTTCTCCACACTTTGTTATCATCAAAACTCAAGGATAGTTGTAGAACCAAACTTGTTCCAACAATCTCCCCTTTTTGATGATGACAAATCCATGTATTTTGATGA